CCGCCCGCCCCGCCCGCGCCGCCCGCCGCCGCCAGGCACGGGAAGTGCATGGCGTGGGAGTTCATGTACTCCGCCACCGTCGACAGCCACTCCATCGACTGCTGCGGGAACAGACCCGCGCATACGTAGCATCTGTGGACACACGTAACAAATTCAATGACAATCATTTTATTGGAAGAGGACATCGATTTTGGTAGTGAAGAAACTCAAGTCACTTTTTCGTCTCCTACTTTTTATGTAAATTATTAATGGGTGGCACTTTTAGAACTATCCAGTAACGCCCATACAACCGCCAGTAAATCGCTAGAAATGTCAAAGGGGGTCCTACTTCTTTAACTTGAGAACATAATACTCAAATCTCTGAAAATTAAATACTATTGAACACGATAATAATAACTTGTAAACTAAGTTATTCTATGTTATCCCCTAGAAAGTTTAAAATAGTGTATATACCTGTACAGTCCCATGCCATTTTCTCCTGACACTATCTGGCTCTGTGGACTACTCGATAACGCATTCGACGGCCTCTTATTTGATTGACTCGAACTAGATTTGATATCATATGGCTTAAATCTGTAACAAATTAAAATAATGAAATTATTCCCACCACAAACAGAATGCGAAGGTGATAAGATATGCTGAAATGGTCACTACTGATTCAGAAAAGTGCAAATTGAATTTATGTTAACGCGTCTGTATTCAAGTGATCTACAAATTATAACTCACTAGCGACCCGCCCCGGCTTCGCACGGGTGCAATATGCATGATATAAACCTTCCTTAAGAATCACTCTATTTATTAAAAAAAACCGCATCAAAATCCGTTGCGTAGTTTTAAAGATCTAAGCATACATACGGACATACAGCGAAAGCGACTTTGTTTTATACTATGTATTGATTAAGAAACATAAGTAATAATGAAGTATGAGGAGGAGCATTTTTACTTCGTAAGCATGCTCATCACCGTTCTGCTGAATAGATCAATTCTTTTTGCAAGTTTGCAAATTCAAGATGAAGATTTTATTCATAAGGGGTGGCGCTGTAATCGCTTTTGGGAGATCTTAAATACAAAATCACGTAATATAATTGAATATCTTACCTAATATTGTTAGTGTGTGTGTTATTGTGCGCGGCGTTGGGCTCGCCGTTCTCTCCGTACGCCGGGTACTTGTGAGGGATACTTTTGTAACACGACGCACATATTTGTACCATGCCTGAAATGTCAATGCTTGTTACATTAAATGGCTTAATAAAATCATCCGCTGGATTATAAGCTCTCTCTTCTATATAAGTGGGATCGGGTGTACCATTATGACGACACCTTGCCAGCAGATGGAATATCACCATTTAACAGAAACCGCAGCTACCCTTTCTTTGTTAAAAGCGTAGTCCTTCACTCTGTTCTTATAGCAAACGGGGGAAAAGAAGGTCCATAGACGATGATGCATGCCAATATTGCATTTCTAGATTAAGATTACACAAATAACGATAAGAAAGGGTAGACAGATGTGAAATTACGGCTCATAATGCCAGTGTACCATTGTACATTGTGGGTGTTACATTTAACACCCACTTTTCACTAAATAAGATTACACTAATTATAATTGTGTGTAAACTAAAAACAGGTACAGTTTATTCTCTTTTGAAGGTGGATCTTTTTTTCGACACTTTGTAAACTTAAGTCACCCGTTGTATGTAGTAACTGATATCTGATAAGGAATATAATCAGCGAGGTATCTTACAAATTGAATTGCGTTTTACACTTGCATTATTGACATAGGAATCCCCAGTGAATTATCGTCATTTATGGACTGATATTTAGGTAAGTACATACTTATAGATAAAATAATATACCTAAATATTATTTTTCATTTTCTCTTCTTTTATTAAGACATTTCTCCAAGTTTATGCTATAATATTATTAGGTAGGAATGAGTTCGAGTTCGCCGGTCGAGTGTTAAGCAAGATATCGAACTGAATTAGTGAGCCGCGCAGTGAATTTTGTGGTTTTCAAAAATTCTTAGAATCTTGACTCGGGACCTCGTGTATGGCAATGGATTCATCAGGCACACGGTACTCAATGTAAATCATAATTTAACTGGTGAAAAATTAGTGTTGTACAGTATTGAGCGCACATTTGCCACCTTGCGAAAAAAAAAAATAGCACAAAACGGAATTTTTCCTGTCACTCACCTTGTGGACTAATTGGACTGGCATCCGGATGAGGTTTGAGCGTAGTTATAAAAGGATAATAAGGTTCTCTCTCGGGGTTTGGACAGCAGTAGACCAGCCTTAGTTGTGAGCTGGGGGCACTGACCCCGCACACGTAGCAGACGAAGCTGGCTGTAGTGGCGGGGGCTGAGGGTTGGCTGGCTGGTCGTTCTAGGGACGGGGAGTGGGTGTGCGCGGCGAGGGACTTGTCGCCTGAACTCGCTAGGCTGAGGGGCGACGGGGGCAGTAGTGACGGCGGTCGCGTCCGTAACGTGTACACGCGCTCGTTTGCCGGCACTGCGCGCATCTGTAACAATACAAATATGCTGTTAGTAATATGGTGGTTTAACAGTTTTCATAAGATATTAGACCATACAATTTATCAACAGTGGCTATACCTTATTCCCGAGTCCTATCTTAATATAAACTAAAATGATAAGTCGTTTAAATAAGAAAGAAGGGTCTACTATTCCAGGTCCAAAAGTACCTCTACGTATGGCAATGTATCTAACTCTTTAGACGACTACAGTCTTAGTCTCAACAATCGGATTACATATGAAACAATCAAGTTAAGATTTATAACTCGATTATACATAATCATATTCAGAGGAAGTAATTTCGCCAATTTTATCTGTACCAAATGTCGGTACAGAACAAAGCTCTAGAATGTTCGAGTCATCGCTAGAAGCACGTGCACATCGCCACGCAGCCGCTGAGGTTATCAGGGCAGATGGACCGCGCCGGGTCGCTGCCACGATACACTACACGCTAATGACAAAAACTTAATCATTTTTGAAGAATTTTAATACCTAAATCTTTGATTATATTGTAATTTTATCCTTAAATGCATGACTGCTTTGAATCTAAAGATACCAACACATTCAGCTGCCTTAAATTGGCAATATTTCATATCTTTGTGTATCTACTAATAGACATAAACCATGTACAGACCAGTCTTTGTATCGATACAAATCTTCTCATACTTAACACCGAAGAAAGTAGTATATGCTATCTTGCTCTAAAAGTAATTATAATAATAGCTATGTATGTAACTTTACTCCATTCATGTGTTTACTCTTTCATGACATCAACATTACTCACGACCTGTTTGGATAAAAACCGGTTTAATCGAGTTAATTCAAATTGCATACTTTGTATTGTGTTAATATTTAATTTACGACTTAACCTTGGCTCTGTAATTTTGCATTTGTTTTTGAAAATGTTATTTTATAAAGATCATCACCTGTATAAATGCATATATTGCTCCTGTTTGTAATTAGCAGGTACAGTTATATTCCCAGTACCTATAGTAATTATTATAATATATAGTAATTATTCGCCTGTAATTTTAAGGTGAACACTTGATTCATAAACATAGACAATTACCAAAAATATCCGGTTGAAAAAAGATTATCTTTTGATAACAATTCTAGCAAATCAATTACTAAGACACATATTTTATCATGTACTCCCTAAACTATATCCACCAGTAATGATGATCATGCAAAACCTGCAAAAGAAATGGGTATATATCGAGTTTTATCAAAAGAGAATCTTTTAGTGCACTTAATCAGTGATAACGTCAGCATAGCAAATTAAAAGATCATCCATTTATGCCACGTTTCGTATTATCAGCAAGCAGCTATCTCCAAGAGCCTAATTTCACGATTATAATTTTATTTTAATCATTATTATAAAAATAAATATTGTGTCTATGTCATTATCTATGTTTACTATAAAACATGATGTATAATTAGGTCTTAAGATACACAAAGGAAAGTTAATGGTAGTGATAACCATTTCAATACAATAAAGTAATGTAGGTCACAATATAGCTCCTTGTGGTACACCATGTCTCCTTTTTTGAAGCGAACAAACATATTTATCGTTTTAACCCAATTTTAATGTTATTCTTATAAATCTATGACCTTGTAAAAGATAACTTATGTTTTAATTAGAGATAACTTGACAAACATCATTAACAACAGATGCTTACTCAGTCAGAAGCTTTAATAAAGTCATAGAAAAAATAATTCACGAAATTTATATCAAACAATGCACGTCAGTGCTTGATAACTGTCTTGAATTATCCAAATTACCTAATGTAGCGACCTAGTTGTAATAAAATTATAGATATCGCTCCACATAACAACAATAGGCACAATATTGAATAGGCTATCGGCCGAACACTTGATCTACCCTCTGATCAAAAAGGTCCAGGTCACAGGCCACATTCAAAACATATAAATAAACTGATAGAGTTCTAACGAATTATCAGCTGCAATAATACACACGAATTATTCGAGATATATTTGTCTGATTACAATAAAATGGAAGAGTATTTAGTTCTTACAATCAAGAAGGTACAAAGAAAAAAATGCATACAACATAGATTTTACCGATGGACTACTTTCAATATATTTGACACATAGTAAAGGAAATACTAACGAATGACATGGTAAAATACAGCTGATTAAATAAGTATAAAACTAATGTCTACCTCAGATTAATTTTGATTGTGGTAGATACATAGTACCACGACATAGGTACCAACTCAATTATAAAACGTTAAATCAAAACTTCTAGCTATTTCATCAGCATTAAACTATTTACTTTAACTTATTCCTTAAGCAAATGTTAAATTTAGATAATGACTCACGTGATATCTCGTTTGGAACGAGCATAATGTGTCGATAATTTCTATTACAGTGGTACAATAAGTGTCAGTATTACGAGAGGTCAGCGCGTTATCTAGTATCAACACTTTTTCAGAGTGCACTGCTCCTAAGAGGTCGCCAGTTCAACTAGGTGCAGCTGATAATACAAGCTTTTTATTATTATACACTGCATGTTTAATAGTTTTGTTTTCTTTATTAATTTATGCTCCATTTCAGATAGTGTCTAACATGTTTATCGTCGTACTTGTCACAATTATAACATTGCAATTGATTTCTATTCGTATTATTGTTCTACGTTTGATACTGTTTCGTTGACTTTGAGAGCATTCACCTCATTTTCGTATTCCAAAAATAATCCGTATCAAAAGTGAGCATTAGCCCGGTGCAGATAAAGCCTAAAATGATGATCTGATAACAGGTGATATTAATCATGTGTCAGTTTATCTAAAGTGTCGATAATATTTAGTGATAAGAAGATAACAGCTTATACGGGCCACTAAATAATAAAATGAAGTAACGTTGGATTTCAATGAGCAGGATATCACTATACATATGAATGATTGAATATTGCCATCGTCTGTCTGTTATGTGTGTCAAAATTAGGTAGGAATTGAAAAAATAGAGGTAGAGCTACGATAGAAACAACGTACATGGATATTTTTTAAAGCACTTTGTTGTAAGGTTTAATTCTGGGAACAAAACAATTATTTTGAATTCACGCCATTATATCTTATCGTGAATATTAGGTATCAATAAAATGGTAGACTCAACGACAATTATCAAAAATTAACACGATAATAATCTCAAAAAATAAAAGAATAGAACTGAAGGCATTCCGCAACATATGAAAGTTGATACAATCTACACATTTATTAGCAAATGTAACATGTATCGGCATTAAAGAGATATGGTATCGTATAAGCCGATTTTCTCTGATAAACGATAAGTAATATAGATAAGATATCTGATATGGAAGGCAACCAAACAAGGTTTTGAGTTCATTATGCAACATCACGAGGTGGTGCCGCAATGACTAATACGTTGAACCTGACGCGTACTATTCTTAATAGACCAGCCAATACGACATTTTCTCAATTTCACCGCGTCCTTTTATGGTCAATTTTTGTGAAGGAATTTCCATATTCATTTAATTTGGTTGCTTCAACGCTCGTTACGACCAGATAATATAGGCTTATATGATTAAGATAAACGAAATTTTACTACCATATCTGGTCATTTAAAAGCGAGTATTAAGATATTATAATTATTTATTTTTGTTTCAAAGGAGGGGATTTTCTGTTACGCTTATCTTGAGTATGATAAATTAGATAAGTTTCGTTTAACAATGGCCATTTGTGAGATAGTGTTGAAGTATACCTACATTTGTCATTATTACCTATTTACCTAGCCATGCTTACTAAAATGTGACTTCTTGTACCGGCGGAATACTTGAGTTGAGAAGGAGCAATTGGACTGTGATGAAAGGTGCAATTGAGCAACGTAGTACAGCCATACTTATAAGTTTAAATAGTCCAAAATATTAAAAGAAAAATCTAATCAGGATGTAGCACATAAACCAAAATAAACTATTGAATCGTACGAGGATATTTTCAAACAAATAAGTTTTATAGATCTATTATCTTAATGTTATCTCACCACAGGGGACTTTTTTTAAGGGGGGAAAATCATCGAATGACTGCTCCCGCCTGGGTGAGGCGGGAGAGAGTGCCAGACTCTTATTGACTACAAACCACCCCGTTCCTTCTCCTGCACGTCGAGCCGGAGCCTCGGTTACCCGTTAGGTTCTCCGCGACCACCACAGGGGATATAGGGTGATCAACGCGCGCGTCACGTGAAGGTAATCAACCAAATATAAATTAGCTTTGCACTATCAGTGAAATCCTCATGTATTAGTTGATAATAGATATGTTATCAGCTGACATTTCAGATATGAAATTAATGCGTTGATGTCTCGGTTCAGATTATATTTGCACGCAGACGCAGAGCTTATGTTTATCTAGAATCTCGTTAAATGCGGTTTTTATTTTATACTTGATTTTCCGCAAAACATTTATACTTACCTATAATAATGACCTTTTGGTATAATAGGACGACAGTAATTAAATTTTTGGTATCTTCACGTTGTAGTTTATATTTTCATGATACTTAAAGGAGAATGGCAGGTTTGTATGGAGGTTTGGTACCGCTATAAAATTTTGTATTTGTCATTGTTTTAACCAAGTGAATGGTCTGAACGATAGATATTTTTATTATGAAGTTTAGAAAAAAATTACATATTTTTAGAACTTCGGGTTCAAAAGTTATTTCACTTTGAAAATGTGCAGAAGGTACGTAAAGGCGGTATTACACTTGCCATTGCGTATTCGCTTCATTTGTACAAATATTTGTGAACTACGTACAAATGGCGTCCAAATAGTATCTATAAATGTAAAAGCGTGCAAATATACGTATATAGCAAATGAAGACGAATAAACCCTCCACACATGGTCTGTTTTGGCCGTACACAACAAATACGCAATGTCAAGTATAATGCCACCTTTACGCAAAAGTACATAATATGACAAATGACAGATGACAGTTAATTGAAAAATGTCAATGTTGACTTATT